CGGGGTCTCAAATTCAAACCTTATGAAGAGCGCCTCAAATCACTTAACCTTTACCCGTTAGAGTATAGGCGTCTTAGAGGTGATCTTCTTATGACTTATAGTATCCTTAATACTTCTGGTCATCCCCTTAAACAACTTCTTAAGCTTAGTCATAACACTAATCTCAGAGGTAACACTCAGAAATTGGAGACCCTACATAGCAGAACAGACTGCAGACACAACTTCTACTCCGTTAGAGTTGTCAAGTGCTGGAATTCGCTGCCGACTGAGCTAGTCCAAGCGACCTCCCAGGAGTCCTTTAAGAGAAAACTTGACTTATTCTTAAGGACTAAGGATAACATATTATTATGATTTACCAAATTCTTTTTTTTCCCTCTATTATCGTTCATATACCTAGGTTTTTGCCTGGAGGTATTGGTGATACACTGCTACCAGACACGGAAGCCCGTTAAGCGAAAGCTTCTTCTATTCCGTCCTCAACCATTTGAACCATTTGAACCATTTGAGCTTCAGCTGCTCATGAGTGGGAGTTTCCGTTGGGTCTCTTACTTGGTTCCCTAGTCAGTAAAATTTTGTCAGGGTGACTTATGGCCTATCGATGTACTTACTATGGAGGTTTGGAAAGCGATCTTGGTATCACATAATTGTCTGTTAACACTACGCACACCTCGCCTTATCCCACGGATATCCGTCTCCGGCGGTAAGGTTTTTTTTGAAGAACGGAGCTAACACAAAAACTACCCACAAAAAGGTCGTGTGTGACCGACCTCAAGCAGTTGTCCCTTGGGCACTGCGGTCACGCTCTCAGGTCATTAAGACCACTTCTAACCCAATTTCCTTTTCAGGTACCCCCAGGAGAACCCTTCCACGGTGTGGGCAACCGGGAAGTGATAACTGCCCTCATACCTCTAACAGCACTCAAGACCACCGTATTCATAATCAATCTCCTTCAATTCCTACTATTCCTTCTACCTTGACTTTCAACACTAAACTTCCTGTTCCGGTTTCCTCCTCAAGTGTCACCATGGCCAACGATTCTAGTGCGCGGAACGCTGTCCCAGGTCTACTTAAACCTCGCTCCAAACTACACATTGGAGCCTTCAACGTACGTACCCTATGCCAAATCGGTCAACAGGCCTCCTTAGCTAAAACCCTAGAATCTCGTACCATTGATGTATGCTGTGTCTCCGGAACACGCATACAGGATCCCAGTGTGGTCATTCACTTGACCTCACCTCGCCAAAATGGACAGCCAACGAAATACACCCTCCGTGTATCTGGCGACCCGTTGGCTAGTTCTCGCGGACTTGCAGGTGTAGGCATAGCACTAAGTACAAAGGCAGAATAGGCACTATTAGAATGGATCCCCGTTAACAGTCGCCTGTGTGCTGTCCGGCTGAATGGCTCCGTAAGAACTCGGAAGGATAGGGACAAACGTCGTTGCCTTTTCGTCGTTTCTGCCTACGCTCCCACCGACTGCAGCCATGATGGAATGAAAGATGACTTTTACAGAAAGCTCTCTGAGCTTCTTCAGAAAGCTAAGCGCTCAGACATAGTACTCATAGCGGGTGACTTTAATGCCCAGGTAGGCAGCTTGAATCAAACAGAAAGACATTTAGGTGGGTGTTTTAGTATTCCGGCTCAACGAACCGATAATGGTGATCGTCTGTTGCAACTATGCTCAGACAATCGTTTATTTTTAGCAAGCACTAATTTTAAACATAAGGAGAGACATCGTCTAACATGGCAACCACCTGCACCAAACCAACGATGGACTCAAATAGACCATATTGTCATCAGTCATCGTTGGAGAGGCTCGATAGAAGATTGTCGCTCGTATTGGAATACTTGTTTAGACTCTGATCACGCTTTAATACGAGCGCGCATTTGTCTGCGCCTCAATGGACTCAGGAAAAGTACACTAAGAAGACCCATTAGGATTGAACTGGAGGACGAGAAAGCCAAATGCGAATTCCAGAAACAACTGAGTTCACATCTAGGCAGTTCTGTAAACAAGACTGACACAGATGCTGCTTGGAAAGACATACGAACAGCTGTGGAAACAGCAGTTACATCTATTAGTCATTTAAACCATAGGGCTCCAAAAAACCAATGGATTTCTTCTAAGTCTATTTCACTGATGGATTCGCGTAAACTCATCCCATCAGGCTCTGAACATGACGAAGAGCGTAAAGAAATTAGATCTAGGTTAACTAAAAGTCTAAGGAACGATCGTGAGCAGTGGTGGGCAACGAAAGCAAAAGAGATGGAAAAGGCAGCGGCTGTAGGGAACACCAGGCAACTATTCAGACTAATAAAAGAAACCGGAATTAAGAAGTCAAGTGTAAGTGAGACAATCTCCGAAAAAGACGGAACCCTTATCTGCTCTCAACCCAAACGTTTAGAACGATGGGCGGAACACTTTAAGGAGCAGTTTAGCTGGCCTTCAGCTACTGCACAACTACCCACTATTCCTAGGAAACCTGAATGGAACATTGAAGTAGGTCCCCCGACCCTACTTGAAGTTCAAAAGGCTATAGGTAATCTGAAACGAGGAAGAGCAGCTGGTCCAGATGGATTGGCTCCAGAGGTCTTTAAATATGGTGGTCCAATTTTAGCGAATAGGTTGACTAATATTCTGGCTAAAATCTGGGAGACGGACGTAATCCCATCTGACTGTTCACAATCTCTGATTGTCCCAATATATAAGAAGGGGCCAAAATCATCCTGTGATAACCATAGAAGGATCAGTCTGACTAACATAGCATCTAAAATATTAACCTCAATAATTATTGGGCGCCTAACTAAGACTCGTGAACTGCAAACACGAGAAAATCAGTCTGGCTTCAGACCTGGTCGTGGCTGTATCGACCACATATTCACCATTTGCCAAGTTTTAGAGCACAGGCACGCTTATCGGCGTCCGACAGTGATAGTTTTTCTTGACTTGAAAGCAGCATTTGACTCTGTAGACCGAGAGGTTCTGTGGCAGTGTCTGTCATTGAAAGGTGTACCTCGGAAGTACATAAACCTTGTGAAGGCTCTTTACTCGAACACTACCAGTCGAGTGAGAGCTTATGGCGAACTGTCATATGATTTTACAACCTCAAGTGGTGTCCGTCAAGGCTGTCCACTATCCCCATTTTTGTTTAACTTCATTATAGACCTGTTGCTGGAAATAACACTCTCTTCGACTGAATTTACAGGAATTGATCTCCTACCAGGGGGACCACTAAGCGATTTAGAATACGCAGATGACATAGTCCTGTTTGGTGAAGACGCTGGCAAAATGCAGAGTCTTCTGTTGGAACTCAGTAATAATGCCAGGATGTTTGGGATGCGTTACTCCCCATCCAAATGTAAATTGTTACTCCAGGACTGGCCTGCATCAACACCTGAACTAAGGATAGGGAGTGAAGTAGTCGAACGCGTTGACAACTTCACTTATCTTGGAAGTCTGATCAGCCCTAATGGGTTGGTGTCTGACGAAATCTCAGCACGGATTCGAAAAGCTCGTTTGGCTTTTGTCACCTATGGCGAAGACGAGATATCCGTTTATCAATTAAAGGACGAGTATACTGCGCAGCAGTTCGCTCTGTTCTACTTTACGGTTGTGAAACATGGCCATTAAGAGTAGAAGATACTCGTAGGTTACTAGTATTTGACCACAGATGCCTTAGAAATATTGCACGCATCTGCTGGGATCACCGGGTAAGTAATAGTGAGGTTCGACGCAGGGTATTAGGGAACAATGGTAAATCAGTTGATAAGGTGATTAATCTTCACCGACTGAGATGGTTGGGCCATGTGTTACGTATGCCTGAACACCGATTACCACGACGCGCTATGATGACTAGTGTAGGGGATGGTTGGAAGAGAGTTAGGGGCGGCCAAACCAAAACTTGGCATCAGTGTTTGAAGTCACTAACTTCTAGTCTGAGCCATGTTGGTAGATGCAGACTACCTGGTTGGGGTCCGCGTGACTATCGTAACCAATGGTTGGAGACTCTAGGTGACATGGCTCAGAATCGATCACAATGGCGTAGGTGTATACACTCTTTATCTTCCTTTAAACCTTGAGATTAAAATTGCTTCATATCTCTCCTCCTTCCTGTACTATATCCTTATATACAACCTATAATTTATATCCTACTACCACCACTAAATTAATTACTTCTATGAATCCAGTGTTCACCTTGTTGTGCTAACGAGGTATGGCAACTTGGACCGATGCATAAATGTGCCTGGTCCTACGTTGTAGCTGACTGACTGACACATCATTCGGACTCACCGTACCCGCTGTCATAGGCCCTCATCGTTCAGAGATCGACACATGATGAGTTCTAATCCGATTCATGTGTCCAAATATTGAATAAATTGGGAATCCCGTGTTCAAACATCAACCTAAGTGGTATTGGACGGATTTTACCAATTGAATTTGAGAAAAACTTTTTTTCCACACAATCACACGCCTTTTCTTCTTATTCCCACCTCAGTTTTTTCTAAAGCCGCAATCGGCGTTTCGTTTCATCCAGTTCCTGACTTCAAATGTTTGCTAGAGTTGGATGATTAATCATCGCCGTTTATTCATCTCTCAGCTAGAAGCATCTAGCTTTTTGATCTGGGTTGTATGGTATTTCAATGCTCTTTCTGAGAGGATGAGGTATTAAAGACATAGACTTTGACGCTCGAGGCCTTAGGCTTTCGGCTCCACAAGGCCTCTTCAGTAAGTCCTTTATCTCCTCAGCCCCAGACAAGTCAGTCAGCCTCAAACCTGCTTGAAGTTGTGTATGGATTTGTATATCGGCTAAACAAGTACTGTCGTGTTCCTGTCTGTTGAAAACATCAGTACGACTTCTCATGGCAATGTTTGTTTGACTACGTTCACAATTGTGCTGTCGTCTGACAATAATTGAGCCGTATACTTAAGCAGTGTTGCTGGAACGACCATACGTGTCCAGGTTTGATGCACCTTTTAACGGTTTCAGATGTTAGACTTGTTCAAACCTCATGGCACCATCGTCTACAATCATCGCACTACATGTCGCTTTTTACGGAGCATCGGCAACTCAGGGTTAGCAACTTCTTTTATTATTATATGCTGTCACCGTTCAAAGATTCTAACATAAAGACTGAGAACGAGCCGTATCAAAAATTGACAATTAAGAGAGTTAAGCAGAAGCCGACTTGTATGAGAACTGCGAAGTCCTAAATATGCGATAAAAACCAAAAAAAATATCCTGTTCAAATAGACGAGTACAGGTAGAAACCATTGTAAAAACAACACGTCTTTTGATACTGCAACAAATTAATCCGAATAAAGTAAAAATAGTAGTTTTGGCACGTTGTAGATGATAGAAACCACAAAACGTATTCAATGAAGAGAAATGACACTTTTATTCTATAAAACTGGTTAAATTAGTTAAAAAGTGTTTCTCAACATAAAACAAGTGGTTTCTTTGACACAAGGGTACGTTTCAGGTACATCTTGATTCTTTTTTCCGATACTTTGTAGCATGACTCTGTTACTGAATGTCAAACAGTTATGTCGATGTTGCATTCAGCAACGTGTGAAGACTAATGGATTTGTGGAAAGGAACTTGATTTTGTCCGTTTTGCATTTCATGGTTATTTACTATTTTTTATTCTGTTTTGCTTAATATTCCTACTCCCAACCAATAGTTCATCTATCATGTCCACTAAAAACATGCACGCGACCTGTGTGCCAATTTGCTAACACTTGATGTACTCAATGTTGTAGTTGCCGAAGCTGGTTTCACGAACCATGCACGAAACTTATTGCGACTGCTCATAAGAGGTTAAATAGGTCCTAACACAAGTGAATATATGAAACCTACCATACAATAAGAAGTATCACCAGTCTTTTGACGCTGTTGTGAATATAATTGTCAGGTCAAGTGAAAAAATCCAACCGCCAGGTGCATAAATATCCAGAGGTATGGTGAAAGAAAAGGAGGGAATGGGGGCATGATTTTAATACTGGTCGTCACTCCTTGCTCTATATATGGAAATAGCCAGACTAATAGTTGTAGTACGTTTTTGTTTTGATCGTGGAACGGAACAGCTGAAACGCGAGGTTCTAAGCTTAACATACAAGTGTTCTTAAAACCGTAAGAAAGAGTGCAAATCTCAATAAGCTTGATTTTCAAGTTTATAACTTGACTGATTCTAGTTTGTGAAGTCTGAAAGTAAATCTTGTGCTTACTAAGGTTATTATCATCACTAGAGGGAGGGATCCATCCTTTGTTTGGATTTTTGTTCGATGTGAATCAATGTTTTAAGCTAACGAGATAGCTGTTTGGTTGTTAACAAATACTATGTGACGAAAAAATACACTGCGGTCTTTCAAACTACTCCATTCATGAAATGAATAAAATAGCTAAAAGTTACCGCTGAAGTAAAAATCCAGTTTTATGGAAATGGTGTTTCCCTGTAATCCCCTATATATTTTGAGTTCATAAAAACTGAACTTCGTTATCGTCTCCTTATAGTTACTCTGTAAACTGCTTATCAGATGAATTCCAGTGGTGATTACTAGAGTGGGCTATGAGACGGATATCAGTGTTCCCACATCTTACATCAACATAGAGAAGGGAACCCAGTAATATGAAAAGTGTAGGGTGAAATAATATAAAAACCAGTAGAAATCTAAACATGCAGTTTTAAAGAAGCAGATGAAATCAAAAAGTTAGGGATCATAATGAACCAAAGGTGTTGAGAGTCATTATGAATGAATGCAACTGCGATCGATTTTAAGTCATGTACCTTAACGTCTTCAACGATCACAGTATTTTCCCCAAAAGGGAGTTTAGACATAGTAACAGTCAGTGATACCACATGTTGTTTTGGTCACCTCTAGCTTTATTCTAACCTAACCTGCTATCTTACCTAGGCAAAACTAACCTTATCTCAGTTTACCACGCATGACTTGTTTCACATGTTATTTACACTTAAATCAGGGGTAGTGGAAAAATGGATATACAAAGCGTCCGCTGACCAGGAGTGATCAAAACAAAATATGGAAAAGTAATAAAAATACTCAAAGTTGAGTTCTAAACTCAAATAGGCTTCTTAAGGTTAATGAAATAGTCGGAGTCGGTACCACCATAGATAGGCATCAACGTAAAGCCCGGCACATATCTCTTGGCTAAAGTTGCTATGCTATATTAGCACGACGTGATGAAAATAACTAAGATTGAAATGGTGTAGTAGCAGTAATAAAAAGACTACAAAATGTTTCGCCAAAAAAATTTAGAAGTCTATGTCTTTCCATCTGATCATGTAAACCTAGTCTTGTTCTGTATTACATATCAGTATGCTTTAAATTGAAAATTGTCTATTGTTAACCAAAGTTGTTATTTTCTCTGCCAATAAAGTAACTAGACGTCTTGAGAGTCACTCATTTAAGCGTTTTATTCTGTCAAAGTTTATCCCAGTTTACCACACGACAAGTGAGCTGCAAACTCTATGAGGTATCAGCGATATATGCATACAGATTTTTAAGCAATAAATCTGTTGTTGGTATTTCGAAGGACATTGACCAGTTGTTCAATTTATCATATGTAATGGTAAATGTTATACTCTTGTGTAATTTCATCCGTTTCTTAGTATCCAGAAATACTTCATTTTTGTTATCACATTTCTATCTCCAAGTTATGTTTAGGTTCAGTCGAAGTCCACATGGATTGTCCAACTTACATTGTGTACAACCATCAAAGATATTGGTTACGAAACGGTCTTGGCGAGCAGTTCCCATGTGGGCTAACTTTCCTTTGCAACATAACGGTCAAACGATGTATGTTTTCACTACATTTTAAAAGTGTTCCAATGGTATTTCAATTATAAAATCTTGGAGGAATACTTGTTCACTTGGAGCAGAAGTAAACTAAGTAAACAAAATCTAAATATAACTACAAATTACACGGCTTATATCAAGATTCCACGCAACCAAATAAACCTCCCGACTATTATGCCAGTAGTGTTTCCGGCTAGAAAAACGTAATCTTTGATGCTGGCATCGCATTTGTAAGTTTTCTAAACCATTTAAGGACCAAATATCTCTTCACTGACTGTAGAATACGTAAATGATGTAAAGGTATTTCATTCACTCTGATATGCCATTCATTTTGTTCCAAGGAAGTAAAACAGCCATCTGATATGTAGATCGTTGTCTATGTAGCAAGGTGCGCAGACCAATGGGGGTGGTGCTAATCCAATGAATAATTTTAAATTTTAACGTTTAAGTTTACCTTTTTGTAATAACTGTAGTCCATTTTGTTATGATAATCTAGGTTACAATCGTCTCACTTGCTGCACAAAACGTTACTAGTCTTAGAAGACCACAACATGAGTATTTGTTGTTTTTAAGTCGAAATCATGCCAAAAATACTTAAAGGATACCTTTTTGACTTTCAAAGTTTAAACTCCCTTATTATTTTGAAGTGATATATAATCTAAAACTATTTGCATCGTCTTACTAAAAATATATTCGAATATAATGGGAAATCGAGGTATTCTTAAGATAAACACACTTCAGTAGATACTTGAATTTTGTATTTGGTCACATGAGTTGTAAAAGATGTACTTCATGCTTAATCCATAAAGCGATGTACATTACAACAAGCTTGAATCAGAGATGATATTGAATGGTACTCTAGAAAATATTTTGTACCATGTCAACGGAAAAGTAAGTGTGAAAAGTTAATGCACTTTGGTACATTAATACAACTGCACAGGTAGCCAGTTACATGTAACGTAGGACCTGAAAAATGTGCATGTTTCGCTACATTACGTAAATACAGGGCGTTTCAGAGTAGTATTAGTGGTAGCAGAAAAAAGGATCAGAGATATGATTCGATAAAATACGGATTCATGGGATTGAAAGTTTTTTATAAAGACTATTAGGTGATTTGTGATATAAAAGGTGATGAATGGTGACTGTACTAACTCTATTGTAAACAATTCTGAGCCGTTCAACCCAATCTCTAACTATTAGTTACGATAATCGGACTCAAACTAGGTTCTGTGCAGCTACATACATAGTTTAGACTAACTGTCAATGATTTCGTGGACTGATTCCACTTTTTGGTATTACAAATGTACTGTTTAAATAATACGTTTATTTCAGCTATGTGGTTTCCTTATAACGTCACTAATCACTATTAGAAATATAACCAAAAAAGTAAAATAGGAAGGTGATGCTGATATGTATCGGGAGTACAAATTTTTCTACGGATTTTTGGAATGTTTCCATTTCATTGACATTTCACTTCCGTGTTTAAATACAGACTTTCCTAATTCAATGTATCAATTAAAACTCATCATTTACAACATTACATTCCAGCAGTAATCTCATGGGAAATAAGAGTGAAGTGGAATCACTTACTGTTTGTGATATTACGGATGCTTCGATCTCAAAACAAAATTCTTTTGATGAACCATTCAGTTCCTTCGTTACTCCACATTCAAGTGCTTCTCCACCATCTACTATTGTTCAGCCCGAGGATGACATAAGACTAGTTGAGTTTCTAAAAGTCCATGGATTTAGGTGGTATCAAGTTGTGATATTTTTCATTTCTATAATGAGTTACCTCGCAGATATTGCATCCGACGCATACTTGGTTTATACGTACTATATTCAGGTTAGTCTAATGTCATTTTCGTCATGTGATTCACTTTCATAAAAGCCTTTGCATCTCAAATCTACATTTTTTCGTTTGACAAGTAATTGAACTACTTCCTATACCTTATTACTATAGCGGACAATAGTCTAGTGACATTAACTTGGAGCAATTTCAGCTCATCTGTGGATTGCCAATATGCTGTCTAGTAGTAGAATTGCGTAGTCGAAATTAGTTGAAAACATTGTTTACCGGAAACACATAGTGTTATTTAGATCGGCGCCAAAAGAAAAAAAACTCCACCTGTATCTCTTCTAGAGTTACTACCGGTCCCAAGCCCGGGCAAGGGAGGAGGGTTGGGCATGGGGTCGACAACCCATCCCGTAGGAAACAAGATTGCTAAAAAAATGCCAGCTAGTTTAAACAAATTAAACCATTTAAACTCTGTCCTGGGATTAGAAGGAAGAATTATGACACCTCAGAATGAAAGCTGAGATTCTTCGGAAGTCATGAGGCCGATACTGTTTCTAACAACTAGAGCAACAAATTTTATAGGTACATGGAATTTCCGGACAATGTTGAAGACCGGGAGGACCAGTCTGTTATATCCCCCGGTGAATTACGAATGGTAACTTTTAGGTCTATTTATGGATCAATGTAATATGCCTATTTCCTATTGTACAATCATTACGTAACTGAACTATTCATATTCGTATTTCTCTTATCATTAACTTTATTTTGACCTTTGACTTATTATCATACGATTCTTGAGTTATCATCAGTTTGTTGATTACTATTCACAGTCACATTCGGCTAAATATTGTACAAATGTGAATTCACTTAGTATTGTTTGTTTGGATCTTCCCATCGATGTGTTTAGGACTGCAACTGGTCAGTCTCTAATTGGCATATGTGCATACTGTGCGTATTGCCTCGATATACCTTAATTCACAAGCACCTTAACACAATCAAATAGAAACTGAAATGAGGAGATACAACTTGGCTATGTTCGGAATCAGCGAAGCCCATTGGACTCAAGTTGGACGGCAAAAGCTAGATACGGGTAAGATGTTGCTGTACTACGGTTACCAAGAGGAGAATGCTCCACGCACTCAGGGAGTTGCTCTGATGCTATCCAAAGAACCACGTAATGCACTTATAAGATGGGGATCTTACGGATCCAGAACCTAAACACCAAGGTCGGAATGGACAACACTGGCTATGAAGATACTATGAGACGACATGGACTGAGGGAGAGAAACGAAAATGGGGAGAGATTTGCAAGGCTTGAACGGCGTACGTGGTTTCAGAAAGACTGCCTCAGTATTCATAATCGTGCATTCAACAACTTGTTTATAGGTGGCACAATATCGCCATACATATGCATACACAAAGCTACATGGGTCTTACCGGATCACTCCACAGGTAACCAGATAGATTAAATTTGTATGAATAAGAAATTCAGAAGGACAATGGGAGATGTGAGACTCAGGAGAGGAGCTGACATAGCTTCAGATCACCACCTGGTTATGGCCAAGATGAAATTGAAGCTAAAGAAACGTTGGAAAGCTGGAAAAACGGCGTTACAAAGGTTCAATAGAGCCTTCCTTCGAGATACTAACAAACTCAACGAACTCAAGATAACTCTCAACAATAGGTTCCAAGCCTTTCAGGATCTACTGAAAGAAGAAGAAACTATTATGCAGGACAAATAGAAAAGGATCAGTGAAGCATTAAAATTAACGTGTCAGGAGGTTCTGGGCCGCAACGAGCATCATCATAAGGAATGGATCTCTATGTAAACCCTGGGCAGGATTCAAGAAAGAAAGAACAAGAAAACAGCAATTAACAACGGCCGAACATGAATAGAGAAAGTCAAGGCACAAACCGAAGCAAACAAGCAAGTGAAGAGGAGCATTAGAACCGACAAGCGGAAATACATGGAAAAGCTAGCAACGATAACGGAAAAAGTTTCAAGAGAAAAAATATGAGACATATATGACACAATGAAGAAACTAGCAGGAAAATATGGTAGACCAGAGACACTGACCAAAGACAAAGAGGACAAGACAATCACCGAGATTCGAGAACAGAGAAACAGATGTGTGGAATATTTCGAGGAACTCTTATATAGATCTGCTCCAATGAATCCACTAGACATCGAAGAAGCACCAACAAATCTTTCCATAGATTTCACTCCACTAACGACGAAAGAAATCAGCATGACCATCAGACAAATCAAGAGCTGGAAAGAAACAGGACGTGACAATACACCAGCTGAAGTCGGACATGAAGGTAACTGAAAATATGCTTCACGGTCTATTCAGGAAGATTTGGGAGGAAGAACAAGTGCCGACGGACTGGAAAAAAGGACACGTCATCAAGATACCAAAGAAAGGAGATCTGAGTAAATGTGAGAATTACAGTGGCATCAGTTTGTTGTCAGTACCAGGAAGAGTTCTCAACAGTGTTGCTGAATCGGATGAAAGACTCAGTAGACGACCAATTTCGAAATCAACGGGATGGATCCCGTAAGGATCAGTCGTGCACAGATCAAATCGCCACACTACGGATCATTGTTGAACAGTCAGTTGAGTGGGATTCGTCACTATACACCAACTTCATTTGCTATGAGAAGACGTTTTACAGTGTGGATGGGAGGACTTTATGGAAACTTCTTCGACACTATGGTGTGCCTAAGAAGATCGTCGACATCATCCGGAATTTATAAAACGGACTACAGTGCAAAGTGGTGCATAGAGGACAGCTGACCGATGCATTCCAAGCGAAGACCGGTGTCAGAAAAGGCTGCTTACTCTCGCCCTTCCTCTTTATTCTAGTGGTCGACTAGATTATGAAGACCGCGATATCTGAGGAAAAGCACGGAATACATTGGACAGCTCGAAATCAGGTAGAAAATTCGAACTTCGTAGATAACCTGGCCCTTCTATCCAATACACATGAACAAATGCAGATGAAGACAACTAGTTTAGCAGCAGTCTATACATAAGTGGGCCTCAGTATACACAAACGAGAAAGCAAGATCCTTAAATACAACACAGAGAACACCAATCCAATCACACTTGATGGAGAAACTCTGAAAGATATGGAATTTTTCACATACCTGGGAAGCATCATCGATGAACAAGGAGGATCTGATGCAGACGTAAAGGTGAGGATTGGCAAAGCAAGGATAGCATTCCTACAATTGAAGAACATTTGGAACTCGAAACAACTGTCAGCCAACGTCAAAGTCAGAACCTTCAATATGAACATCAAGAAAGTCCTACTGTACAGAGCTGAAACGTGGAGAACTGCTACAACCATCAAAAATGTACAAGTATTTATAAATAATTGTCTACGCAAGATACTCAATGTTCGTTGATCGGATACCATAGCAACAACCTACGGTGAGAGAGGGCAAACCAGCTTTCAGTTGAAGCGGAGATAAGGAAAAGACGCTGGATGTTGGTAGGACATACATTGTGGAAATCACCAAACTGCATCATAAGGCGAGCCCTAACTTTGAATCCTGAAGAGGAATGGGAAAGTGGAACGCCGAAGAACACATTACGTCGGGAATCGGAAGCAGATATGAAAAGGATGAATAGAAACTGGAAAGAACTGGAATGGATTATCCAGAACAGGGTTGGATGGAGAACCCGGGTGGGCGGCCTATGCTCCTCCATAAGGGTAACGGGCGTAAGTAACATGGAAAATGTAATCCGGCAGGTTAAGCAGTTTTCTAGTCATTTTTCACTATTTTCCATATTTGTTTTGCCTGTTGATCCTGTTACTGATGATTGCATCTCCAAGTGCTGACTAATCCGTACTGAACTAAATGCTAGGTTTAAACTAGTAAGTTTGCCTTGAAAGTATCAGTAACTAGAAAATAGATATCGCATAAAATGTTATCTTCATTTCGATATATTTCTTGTATGATTGATTGAAAACGTTGAGAATTCGAGAACTGTTAATTAATGTGCCTATCAGACGACCATATACATAGATGTAAAAATTCATGAATATTTCTCAAGTTAATTTTATTTTATTACTGGACCAATAGCAAGCAATCAGGAATTGTGTGAGTAAAAATTGCGTTGGAACTTGGAAAATTGGAGTACAAAACGTAACCTGTTTGGATGTTCTGCCGATGCAGTTTGAAATTAATGAAATATACATTTTAGCTAAAAGGGTTTTAGTGTTTTCTATAAATCTGAATGCTCTAAGGTAGTAAGTAATCTGGATGATTGACTTCAGCCCACTCATAATAGATTGATATATGCATAAAGACTCTTGAAGGCTTTGCATATTCTCACCTTGCAATCGGGTAACGGTGTTTGTTCGCTACAACTTTAATTAGTCAACCACTTATTATTTCTGCTGAATAGCAATTCTATCCACGGGAATATCTACTGTTTTTTTTTTGAGAACCCATATAAACATGACGTAAATAAACCTTATTTTCAGTACCCACGTTTGCAGGCCATTTGAATTGCTGCTTCCTATTTAAGACATTCTTATACGATCAGGTTGATGTTTGAGCCCTATTGGAGTTAAAAGATTCCTACTAAGGGACTTTGAATTCAGTGTGGTTTTTCAATCGAAAGAGAATCATGTGTGCTAATTATAGTGGTTCATACCAACGAAGGGTCTTTTTTAAACTTTAATACGCATCAACATTTCTTTAGAGCGATAAGTCGTGATGCTTTTTTCTTGGATTAACGAGATATCTGATGTTTCATTCACAAGCAAACTTGACTTACAGGTTGGTTTGTAGACAGGGCTTTCACAGACGTCAGTTGTCAATTTTATTGATTCTATTTCGGTGAGTGAATTCCTTATAGAGATGTACGCGAATTCAATAGTATTTTCAAACTTATTAGAGAAAGTCTCGACCTAGTTTTTTGATAAACATAAATTTCTTAGTACTTTATCAGATGTAGTACTCATGGTTTTAGCGTTTGGTAGTATTTCTTTAACTTCTAAATAATGAATCACCTTTTGTCAGTATTTGAGTTATTCATATAAAATAACCTTTTGTTTAAAAAAATTATTTACAAGATATTTTGTATAAAATTCCGATCTAACTTTTGTTTTTTATTGATTGATATAGGGAGATTACTACTGGTCTAGTTTAACAATGACTTTTATGGTAGTTCCCGCTCTCTTGATGTCCAGTTTCAGTCTTGCGTGGTATTTCATTGACTATAAAGTTCGAGTTGATCCTCCGCGCAGCTATCGAGCATGGACGTTTAGATTATTGTTTCATGGACTCCAGTTGGCCCCACTAGTGAGGTTTGTTTGCTTTGAGCCACATTTTCCTTGTCTGTATTTCATTTCATAAAGCGATCGAGTTCATCAAAGACTGACATTTTAATGTTAAAGAATTGGAATAAATAGGCTATGGTTTATTCACTGTATGCAAGTTATTTATTCTACGAACCGGAGATTCAGTAATGCGAGTTTGTATTGGAAATACTGCAATTTTTGTTGTCAGTTTATGATGTGGCTTCGTCTAATAAATCGTCGTTCTGAGTTGCTCATTGTTGGTCTGTGATGGTTGGCTCTTTCTTGTCTTGAACCTAGCAACCGAGCTACTATAACTATGAGTCGTAACTCAAAATCTAAGTCACTGTCGATTCTGGTTCAGTTTTACTTTAACGTTCCATATGATGTGTAAAATTTACTATGCCAGAAATTTAAAATACTGTGGTTGTGTAGTTATTTGAACTATGGCTTTTATTATTTCTATTCTTGTCATTACTTTATGATCTTCCGTATACTTTCCCATAATAGTTAAATAGCTTTATCATGGAAATTTGCTTAACGTTAAGATGGTTTTATCACAGATTGAAATAAGTTAAATGTCGAGTGAAGTAGTGTCCAAGAATACTAAGCAGTAGGAGTAGCCGAGTTGTAATAAGAAAAAATATAAGTGGCGACGAAGAAAAAGGAAGACACATTTGAGATACCAAATCAGATGACTAGCTCAACCGAACACTACAGAACAGCAAGCACAACTTGATGCACAAATGCAATTGTTGGAGACTCTGACACAGCTTAATATCCACTACTCGACTTCACACACTATTTCAAGTACTACATATGATGCAGATTGATGAAACCAAGAATCCTAAGGGAACTGAATTGTTGTGCGCCCTTCTGTTGCTGTTTGTGTCACTTTTTTGAATTTTAAAGACCTCACCATTAGATTATTTGGTCTTTTGTGCACAGTGTATCACAGGTCTAGCCTGTTCTTTACCACTTTTTTCGCTAGATTTGGCAAGGGGATCTTTAGGTGTAGTTGTTCAATGTTGGTTTTTCGTCTTTCGTTGATGCCAAGGATCATTCGTCTGTTGGTATTTAAGACTGATTCTAACGTTGTTCAGTCTCATTTTCTTAGCACGATAGACTAAAGTCAGCATATCAAGATGAGGATTGTTGAAAAATTCACCAGTTTTATTCTTGTGCCAAGTTTCACTATTCTACACCTTACTATATTGGTCGGATTCTGATTAGAGCTATTTTTGCTTTAGCAATGTTAGCTGTTACGGAATAACCTGGTGCTCCGTCTTTTTTGATCGTTGAGCCGAGATAGTTAAAGGCGTTTACTTCCTCGATTTGATCTTTGTTTATGGTGATCTTGGGGTAATTGGCTTGTTTTTGTTTAGTGTGTTTTTATTCCTTCTTGTTTTAGTTTTCTATGTTGAGTGTTTACGGCTTTGGAAACCTCTTTTATATTAGGGGTTATCAGGCATAGATCATCTTTGCATTTGACATGCGATATATACCAAATTCCGCTGTTTATCTTTTAAGGTTATTCTTTGTATAGTTTGATCTCCGTCGTGCTTTGATGTGTCCTTTGTCTAGTAGTTTGGTCATACATGTAATCAATTTATTTGATGTGTATGTTTTTACTAGCATGTCGACGATAAGTTGTTTAGGAAGAGTATCCAATGCTTTGCTTGAGTTGATAAAGGTGAGTATTAGCACTTGATTCGTGTCTAGGGCACGTTGTATAATGTGTCTAATTGTCGTTGTTTCATACTTGGTAGCTAAGTGTTTTCTAAAGTCGGAGTAGGTAAGCGGCAGTTTGTTATCTGTTAATTGAGATAGCCTGTTGCAAACATTATCAGCAAATAGCTTACTTACGAAGATGCTACGGTAGTTATTGGTATAGGTTTTTGATTTTGTTTATACTAATCACATTTGCATCCAAACAGATGTCTGGCCTAATGTTGTGATTTCAACAAATCCGTTCGTTAATAGTATATTGTTTAGTTTGTTAAAACAGACTACGTGGTTGGGGTCCGCGTGACTATCGTAACCAATGGTTGGAGACTCCGTGTGACATGGCTCAGAATTGATCACAATGGCGTAGGTGTATACACTCTCTGTCTTCCCTTAAACTATTGGATTAAAATTGCTTCATATCTTTCTTTCTTTCTGTACTATATCCTTATATACAATCTTTCTTTTATATATTACCACCATTAAATTAACTACTCCTATGAATTTGGTGTTCATTTTGTTGTGCCAATGGGGAGTGGCAACTTGGACCCATGCATATATGTACCTGGTCCTACGCTCTAGCTGACTGTTTAGTTTGTTATCCTCATGTGTAGCCATTTCAGTTGTCAAAATATTGTTGCCAGGGCTTTTACAGTTTTTCATCGTTTGTAGACCTCGTTCATATTGTTATTGTTAGTATAGGGGTCTTGGGCTGAGTTTAGCAACAAGGAGATTGATGCTGGTTCGGGTAGTGTTGAGTTAAATATACGACTAACTTAAGTATTACAGTGATTGTCTCCATTTTTTATGCCTGCTTTTTTCACTTCTAGGGCAGCTGACGCTATCTACTACGGTATAGCAAGTCGACAACCTGGATTAAGTCTTCGTGTAGCTGCACAATATACGCAGTTGATGCTTTATGAAGATGCCGATTGTGCTATGCTTCGTTTGATAGAATGTTTCACTGAGTCCGCTCCACAACTTCTGTTACAGTTGTACATTATTTTAACGCAACCATATCCTGCACCTAAATTTCAAAGTATGTTTCTGTCCTTGAATAATGAAACTAATATTTTAAATTGATATCATGGATGTTTTAATGTTAAACCACCATCAAAAACCTGGAAACACTGAAAGGCCATTTCGTTCCAGTATAGGATTCCTCAACAACACGTCCACGATACCGCACGCGGGATTCTAACCCGGAACTTTCGGTCTAAGTTACCCACTGAAGATAATGGTGGACGGTCACGCAATATCGTGATTGGTTGAATTTATATTTTAATACCGTTGGATGTCGACTCAGTGGTCTAGAGATTAGGCGTCTGTCCGCGAGATCCAAGTACCTGGGTTCGATTCTCGCGTACGGAGTCGTGGATGCGCACTGTTGAGGAGTCTCATACGAGGACGAAACGGCCGTCCAATCCTTCCAGGCTTTCGATGGTCGTCTAACATTCATCCATTCATGATATCAATTTAAACTGAACAATCTCCACAACCCTATACTAATGACATTTTGTAAATTCCTGTGTTATGACTTTGTTAGTTGCTTGTGGAACTACATACAATACGTTACATTTCAGTCAGACTTCATATTTTATAAACACTTGATTATATTCATTAAATCGTTTGCTGTACCGCCAGTCGATCACACAAATAATAAATCATTATGGGAATTTAAGTGTAAGGCTAATGTGTTTGAATTTGCGGTTTAATGGTTGCCATTAGACCATATTTCTTATATTATTTGTGACTTTTGCAAAGAAAAACAATATACTTGGACTTAATAGCCGTCCAATGCTTCCGTGTTCTCCATGGTGGCCTAACTTAAATCTTTTCATAATTCAATGAATCATTGTATTATTTGATGATAGTGTTCTTTAGGCTTCGAGAGAATAGTCTTTCATTAGTAGTCATGTGAATTTTTTGAAAGTCGGTCTTAGTGACTTCGAATTCATATTGGGTTGGTACTTTTGCTAAACCCATTTTCAAATAATCAACACGTTCGGTTATTTTATCAAGTTTGAGGTACATCATAAAAACTTCTAAGTGCGTTTTTTGCATTTGCTTATACTTACCGTATCTTATTTCCTTGATTTTTATGAATGAGTCTTAGCCATTAGAAGTGAAAAATATGCGTAAATTGTAAGTATTCATGCGTAGATATCTGGACGATACTGCTTGGCTGTTGTGAGACAGACAAGGGGTTGACGTCATTGTCATATCAAGAGGTGACTTATTGGTTTAGACATTCAACTTCCTAGCACTTGATCGCTTTTTCTGCCCTCGTTCCAACTACTTTACGCAGCCAGATAGAATCACTAACCTTCATACATAAAGTGTAGCTCAAAGTTGAGTACACGAATCTTTACTTGGTAAATGATTTAAATTAGATGAATATGGTAAATACATAAATGCCGACTAAATTATCATTCGATGCATACTGGGTACATAACTCTCGTGACGATTACAACTTAATAAAAATGTAATCATCTTTATCTAATGAATGGTGGAAATCTTTAATATTGTTGTTTATTTATTAGTTTCAGACAGTCTTGTTTCGATATTTTTTCCATTTCTGTTTTGTTGCGGGTTGGCACGACTTAAGAATAGATATTTTTATTCAAAGTTGAACATTGAAATCTCTGTTTGTATATGTGATGGTGTATTAATTGTTAAAAAGCCCAATGAATTGGTTACCGTTTGGAATGAAAGTTTCACCTATTACTCTTACAGAACCTCAAGTGGTTTTTTTACGTTTCCGGCCAAGTTTCATTTTGAATTAGTTTGGTTCTTATTTGTCCAGTTTTCTAATATTCGAGATTGTAACTGATAATCCGTTAGTAGTCATCGTTGTTGAACACTCATTTGTTCTTTTAATACATTAACAAATTTAGTCATTCGTCTATGAAAGAATGTATGTTGTTTAAGTTTCTAATAAGTCTAGGCTAAAAACCAATATTTTTCTGAACCGCCGTGCGAAGACTTATGCAGCTGTGGATTTTACTGATCAGAACATTTGACCACCTACTTTTTGTAAAAAGGAACTGGAAAGCTACCATTTGTGGGCAACGCTTGGACAGTTAAGTAAGGTCACGGAATGACTTAGGAATTTTTCATAGTGTCTCTTATCAATATCCTTTATAAATATTTCGTTTCATCAAAGTCTTCTTTATTGTTTTTGCACTTAAATTTGTCTTTTTCCCCACATTTCGACATTTAGTGACTGCACAATTTGTTTCATGTGTATTTTCATGGCTTTCACTGGCGTGGTCGTTAACCTATTATCAATCTGCTCTACGTAGTTCACGTATTGAAAAAGGAAATATCCAGACCTTAGGTGTTATATTCTTCTTTTTCTGGAAGGCTGGAGTGCTAGCATCACGATTACTTGCTTTGGGTATACTTGCTTCTGTTGTCAAGGGGTTTTGGTTTGTAGTAGCTCTCGGTATTCATTGGTTGTTGGCTTCTGGTTGGTTAATCACTCGAGGGACGACGTTTTGTTCATCGAATTCACGAGCGTTAGGAGAGCTGACCTTTGATTTAGTATTGGGTGCAGTTTATTGTTTTGATGTGGTCAATATTCGTGAAGGACGAAGTCGAATGTGGTATGTATCATGTTACTTAATATTTGGCATTGAAAACTCAGTATGTGCGTCATTGTGGTGGATAACACATTCATATATTAATGCAAATCTTCCAAAAAGTGTGTTCAAAAATCAACCATCCACGTGGAACACCGTCTTACCTTCATACACTCTTCTTATTATCGTGATGTGCAGTTTTTGTATGGGTATAGTGATGATGATCGTTTATTACATTACGTTTCATCCATCGGGAAAGATTGAAGTAAGTTATGACAGCTTTTCCAAAATTTCATGCAGTTAGTTCCCTTTATGAATTTAAATAAAGACAACAAATATTGATGAGAAACCACGAAATATAATGAATTCATATTATTCTGCATCAATATTTGTTCCGTCTTTATTTATGACATTCCGTTTTGAAATATTATTGCCTATTTTATTAAACAACCTTGCTTTATACTATTTTGGTATATATATATGGTTATGCACTTTTTTAATTTCGTATTATATGAGGTTTGGTCGGTTATTTAAAAGGTAATCTCACGAAATGATACTGATATAAAACATATTAGTATCTTTTTAATGAATGTATGTTCAAATGACTGGATATGGATTCCAATGAGTAGTGGAGTGTTTCTTTAGTTGCTAGTTTACTCCATCTAAGACTGAATAAGTCAAAAATGTAGCCTCATTGAGAATATTATAGATCGGATCTGAAACAACACCTAAGGTCATGTCAATGAAATGACGATCAAGATCTTTGGTTCAGAGGTCACGGCACATAAATTCAAGAAGAATAGTCACTACAGTTCGATTCATAATTCATTCTAATAACTGAAAAATGATGTGCTGTTTACAACACATGGAATTGTCGAGAAACATCTGTGGTTTCGGATTACGCAATCTTTGCAAAGAAAACAAACACGGCGTGAAATAATGCTGCTTCAGTTTAATTAATTTTAATAAGAAACACGTTATTCAGTAACCAACCTTCTCCTCATTCGTAGTTGAGACTTAACAAACCATTTTACGTGTAATACTCTATATTATGGAAGTATACTGATTTTACTAATGTAGACAATTCTGCTCTGAAACATTGATAAGGTTACTATCATCTTTTGTTGCTACAGGAAGAGTTAAAATAGACTCAGAAAATAAAGTACAGTAAAGAAATCAGTAGGAAAATTGAGACGGCAAAAAACCAATTTTTTTTTACATAGAATAAATATATTGAAAAAACATCTTAAAACCGTTGCTGGTCACACTACCTTAGCACACTTTCTTATAATTACGTTGCATGACGAACTAACGTCTAAACAGATGACCGACAATCACAAGTGCTTTCAGTGTTGTCGATGCAATGATGATGATATTTTGCGCAGACATCAATTGGTCGACCATAGTCTTCAACAACATGCAGAACATATGAGGTTTCGTAAAAAGTCATATACGGCCATGGAAAGACTGGCAGTCAAAGATACTTGAGCTACTGTTTAAATAACGCAGAGAGGTTTTTCACAGTTTCTAACCAATCAAGACATACCATGAGTGTATGATTTATAGTCCATTAGTAATTAAAACTAAAAAATGTTAACTGTCTTTTAATAAATCATAAAATTTCCCAGGTTATTGTTAGGGTTTCCTGATTCGAAGACGTAGAAGATTGATAACGAAACTCATATATGTGAATTCTGGGGATCTTTCCTTTGGACTGTTCATGTAGTAGTTAATAATCTTTAGAAATCCGATATACACCTTCAGTTGTGTATGCGGTACGGTTGACAAAAAACTATCAATGATACTGATTTTCCTTTCTAGTTATGCATTCCGTGTGATGAACTGATAATAACTTTGGGACCGCAAGATTCATTAACAGTCGACCCAAATATTCAACTATCAGAGGAAACTAATCAGGTATCAGTGTAAGTTGAATCAGTAGAAATAAAATTTCAACGTCTAGAATTTTTTAAACTACTCTTATTTGTTTTTACTGACAAAGATTTTCCAAATCTAAGTTTATCAGACCGTATCTTTAGAACAGGAAAATTAGTCCCATTCCTCCAGATTGTTATACAGGAGGGAAATAAAAAATTATGTGCTCACATTAGCTATTCTTTAGTTAATATATGCCGAAGAAATGGCCTTAATGCATGATCTAAGAACGTAGCTGCAGAGAAGAATTAAGTTTATACACCATTTCATATTTCACCAACCTTAAAAAGGGCTCGGCCATCTGATTCTATTTACAATGCATCATATTCCTGCTGGTCTACGCCGTTTTTTCTGGCATGATATTCTTGTATGTAAGTGTATTTAGATACAAACACAAAATCGTAGAAAAATTCAGTTTTTATAATTAAACAATTTTATGTTTTAATTGTTTTACGAAAATTTGTTAGGAAATCATAAAACGGACAGTTGAACAATTTGCAAGCACTATTAAAATTAAGCAATTTCTTCACACAACACAATCGCTTTTGTCTGCTGATGAAAAAAATGAAGTCAAAGAATTAAAGCGACAGGCTTGATGCCAACAATAGATTGACAACGAAAATTTCTGTAATAAAATTATTAGTTTATATGTATGACAAAACAGTTGTTCATGAATTCGAGTTTTTTATTAAACGAAGATCAATAAAATGTATCGATAAAAATGGTGCTTCCTTATATATTGATCAACCCCCTAGCCCAGTGTCCTATTGTCAGTTTAGTTACTATAGATGATATCGTTTTCAACTACTGGGATTAGCTGTACTTACAAGTAAAAAGGTTTAGATAGACAGGCTTAGACGTCAAACGATATTTGAATGTGATTTTTAGTCTTTCAATAGCAAAAACGTCTTATTTATAAAATTCACTTGACAGTTAACCACACTACTTGAAAAGTGTTTGCCAGTTTTAAAGTCACAGCCGTAACTTCAAATAAACTGGTAGGAAGTCGTTTACTCACTAACTACTGAATCGCAGCGTACTTATGATCTGTATTGCTTAGATCCATACTTAACGATGTTTTTAAAGCTACTGAGACCAAAAATGAGTAGATATGTTAAGGCGTTTATACCATAATATTTCTCGTTGATGAGACTGAATGTATTAAGGTTTCTTCTCGCATTCCAGGATTCCTAATTGGTGCCAAATTCATGTATGGAGATTTTATAAATTACTATGAATTTATTTCGGACATTGTTTAAATTGATAGTATGAACAATGTGATTTTCATGTTGATAAATAATACGTTCTTCACAGTTTTCCATGATATCTATCAGCAACCTCTTGGTCATTGTACATATTCACTCAGGATAACATCTGTGCAGCTTCGAATATCCTTCAGATTTACTGATTAACACTTGTTTCAACTCATCAACAAACTTAATATGACAAATGTTCGATTACATAAACTCCACACCGTAAAATGAAGAAACAATCCCAAATACATGTATGCTACGACCAAAAAATCACGAACTGAAGCCTCGATTGTGCTAGTAGACGGTTCAGCACTAGCAAAAAATTTCAAACATATACCGTTTCCGCCTTGATTTGCGGAGACAGACTTCAACAGACGTACCACCGAGAGGTAACTATCTACTGACTGTTTTTAGGAAACTGGCTGTCCGCACAGTATTAAACTCATGAGCAAGCGCGAATCTAAATTTTGGAACTTGCAACAGCTCTGACCTTAAATACGTAACGGTGTCTGGAGAGACGACAAAAGCTCTACAATTAAACCTGATAGGTCTAATAATGGATCCGATCTTCTAGCGCTTCTACTGATTTGATTAAATCTACGGGACAACACAAGAGAAAATGCGTGAAGTGAAAAAACGCTTTACTCAAAGTTTAGGTATGTACAGGAAGTCGTGTGTGTTAGTGCTACTTGATGTAACATTGTCTAGAAAATTCTAGAAGCAAAGTAACATTTGTAGAAAAGTAAATACTCTGTCGAAAACGAGAGACGTGGTCTGTCACCGTTCTAGAAGGCTCAGACAAATTTCTATCAATTGAGCCATGGTACATAAGGTCGGCAGCCAGGCGTTCATTAAGATTAATTGATATTTACGAAACATGCAACTCGATATACATTTGAAAAACTATACTGAAACTGCGTTTAGGCGGCTCACACTAACTGATTTAACATCAGAATATAGTCCAGCAAGGTTCTTCCAGTTAAATAGCAGAACTCGTCCAGATTTACTGAGATCTGTTTAACGATTCCGTTTCAGGGTAGATGTCGGATATGCACACATCAGACATTTTATTGATAGGTGATTAGCCATAAATGGTTTGACGAGGAAATTTCAGTGGTTGTTCCTCTAGAAATAGATAAGAAAACGGATATGCTTAATGGACAAGCAAAACTTTATCACGTTAGGTGACAAGGAAACGCCTATATGACAGGTGTTGTCAATAAGTTTACAACCAACTACGATGAATGTTACAACCCTGATCTTAAGTTACAATTACGAAAGAAAAATACGTAAGAACCTTTGCACGCATGTAGTGGTGATCTTGACACAATCTGCCTGAACGTTTACGATAGCAAGACTAATATGCCCACAGGTGTTGATTGCTTGCATCGTTAGAGTCTGAAGGTAAATACGAAGCATTATAAAAAGTTTAATAAGATGTATATTTCCTAAATAAATTCTATTATAACTGAGCTCTTTGTCCGTGATCTTCCTGGTCAGTCAGTCAACTACAACGTAGGACCAGGCACATATATGCATCGGTTCAAGTTGTCATACCTCATTAGCACAACAAGATGAACACCGAATTTATAGAAGTAGTTAATTTAATGGCGTTATTATATAAAAGAAAGATTGTATATAAGGATAAAAGATGAGACAGTTTTAATCTCATAGTTTAAGGGAATCTTACTGGTTCACAATGATAAATATATTTTCAAAAGGAGTTTTTTGTGGAGAATCAGTAATTTCGTAGTTGAAAGCGTGAGCTAGACCACCAGTGAAAACCTGGAAGGCCGTTTCGTCCTATTGTGGGACTCCTCAGCAGTGCGCATCCACGACCTCGCATCGCGAGATTCGAACCCAGGACCTACCAGTCTCCCGCCAGAGTACTTAACCGATAGACCACCGAGCCGGAATCCCATGGTGTTTATGTCTAACCGTTCACCAATTGTCTTCAGTGAGTTTCTATTTCACAACAGACGTGGTATGAACTCCACTGATCACTGCTTTTTTACTAGAACTCCTGGATCATCTGCGCTATCTGTTTCCGCTGATGAATTTACTGAATTCGCCGTTACTGCCTTCAGTGGTTCACTTTCAATTGTATGTGACTGTAGCTTCCTCACATCACTAGGTCATCTAAATGGGGATTTTCCTACAGGTTTGGATGCTCATTTAGACTTCGTAATCATCAATGATGTGGGTACATATGTGACTCGGATCACTGTATAATCCATGTCCCACCTAAAGTATATGGAAAGCATAGAAAGAGTGCACCCTTATATCAGACCAAGAAAGTCAAGTATAGAAATTACTCAGAAGAAAATATTTAAAATCTAAAAAACAATTTTCGTACGACTAACTGTAAATTATTTACAGATGACTCATTAGAAAACACCACTGACGTTATCACTTGTTATCTTAAATTCTGGTTTGATATTTGCTGTCCTACCGAAACCTTCTTTTAAAGTTTTGATCGACTTACATCTCCACAACTGGAACGACTACGGTGGGTAAAATAAAGAATGTGCAAAGAAAAAAACTCTTTTGAAACTAATAAGCCAAATGGTTAAATAAACCTAGAGATTAGACGTCTCAACTCTATGTTTACTCAGAAACTCCTATCTTGTAAAAACTCTCCAAGTATGTGGAGGCTCTTTAAAGAAATTACAGGGGACAGGCAGATTAGTAGCGATAACTATCTGAATGTTTGTGACTTAAATAAGCCTTTTGTACGTCATGCTTTCTTTATCCACAGGTTTGAGAAATAATTGTGTTCCTAGTTTCACTGAAAATGATGTCCGAAAAGGTTTCCAGTCATTTAATTCATCCAAAAACTTTTTTTTAATGTGCTGACGATCTATGTTATCCATTCACGAATATCTTTAACAGATCATTCACAACTAATCTCATACCGAAAATGTGGAGAAAGATAATCTCTATATCTTAAGACAATATCTCGCGATAAAAATGTCAAATTTAGACCCATAGCAATAACCTCACCTTTCCTCAAAATAATGGAAAAATTACTGATACAACCACTTCAACCTGCAATAAAAGAGCACTGTGATCCATTTCAGTTTGCTTACAAAGCAAAAGAAACACCTTATATGCCGTTGATGTCATGCTTCACAATATACTGTTCGGCTTGAAAAAGGGTAAAGTATATTCGATGCGTTTTTGTGGACTATACTTCTGCTTTTGATTCTATCCCAAGACAACATTCACCTAACAAGTTGATGAGCGTCAACACTGCCAGCTGGATAACCAATTGGCTATGTTCCTACCTTTCTGGAAGAAAAGAGTACATTGTGTTTGGAGGAAAGTGTTCAACGTCTCTACTGTCTAATGAAGGTGTACCACAAGGAGCTGTTATTTTACCTCTCCTTTTCTCTTTTTTTCTGCATGATCTGCCATCTTCCACAGAAAATACTTTTGTGAAATATGCGGACGACCTCACTGTATGTATACCAATTTCTACTTCCTTACATCCCATAAAAATGAACGAATTTTTGTCTCGTGTTTTGTTGGTAATAGTCTTTTACTCAATCCATCTAAATGTCAAGCTGTTAAGTTTAGCCTGAGACGTCGACAGAACCTATACACTATTTTGGGATCCCATAATGCTTGTGGCAAAAGAGACTTTTTGATAAACACACTGTCGAAGGTAGATTACTTGGTGTTACTTTTTTCTCTGATCTCTCTTGGTCTTCTTATGTTTTACCGATATCGAAAATTTTTTTACCGTTTGACTTACTACATAAAGAAGCTGCATGCTTTTGGAATTACTCGAAATTTACTCTTACAATTTGTCAATTCCTACATATTACCTATTATTCTTTACTGTTTTCCATTATTCTTCCCGGGCTTTTGAGAAAAGACTTTGCTGTACTGCGGAGAGTGCTTAAGGCCGTTAGCAAGAGGTGTGATGAATCTTTTGAGGTCATTATTAATATGCTTGCGGATGGACATCTTAAGTCTTGCAAACTCCTGGCAGGTGTTATCTTATCAGATACTAATCATCCACTCGACTCATATCTTTCTCCATGTATATATTCTGGTAGAACGAGACGTAAATACACTAAAATCCGTGCACGCAAGGAAATCTATAAAAGTTCTGTACTACCTTATCTAGAAAATATACTCTGTGACGAACAGGTTGTTAGAGTAACCCTAGTAAATAACCTGTATACTTAAGCATGTCTCAAATTTGATAATTTGTTCAGACTCACATTTTGTTTTCTGGTAAAAAAAAAACTTGTTGAAATACCTCGTGCGGAGAATTCTATATTGTACCAAAATATAATATTGAATAAAGCCATTAATAATAAAAATACTGAAATGTTTTAAACCAAAATACTGACATGTAATATTTAGTGAAACTAACCTGAATGCAATCCCTCCCCACCAGTGTGATTCATCTCCATTCATCAACTCGATGGGGATAGATATAATTAGGAGAAATTCTTCTTATCGTACAGTACAGACCCTACTTTTTCAACTGTTAGTTCACATTCATACATGGAAACACGCGTTGATATCAAAGACGCAGATAATTATTTTTCTTAGATTGAGAACTCGTTTTGATGAACAGTATAATTCAACCAATGTTATATACTTGGAGAATATACTTAAGCCGTTGTCAGAATGCAGGTCTTTTGGCTTCATTTAAAGAGCGTGACCGGCTGCTTCACTATAAGTAGAAAACAGAGCAGTAGGAAATTAAATTACGTTCCAAATGCTTTGAAATTTTAAAAAAGGCGTGAAAACTTATTCTTGATTTCCTTACTGCTAAGCGATCTTGCAGGTTACATTGGATGATATTTGACAGCAAAACATGTATGAGAAAAATTGCGCGAAGTGTATTTTAAATTAGTACATTTGGACGCCAGACTCAGCTTACCGCTACCCAAAGAACTAATAGGCAGAAATGTTGCAAATATTACTCAGGATAACGAGATGTACAGTTTTGACTTATTCCCACTGACGCAGTCTTAACAATAGTGGATACTGTTGCTGCAAAAATACAGTACATTTAAAAATAGTATGAGCAAGAATACAAGATTTTCCTGTTATTTGAGTGTTAGAGAGACATAGATTGGATTAAAGCATGTTCAATGCACGATTGCATCGGTGCACACTGATTGACCAATTCTTATCTAATTAGCGCTAGCCGATGCTCGTAGAAGACTAGAGGATCTTTTCATGTAAAAACTATAAATATACTAACGTATCGCTTATTATAACTCCGCTGGTAGCTTCTCTAGGGGGCTACTGCCGGTCCCAAGCCCGGATGAAAGAGGGTCGCCATGGGGTTAGCGACCCCATCCCGAAGAAAAACTAATCAGGAAAAATTATTCAAACCATTTAAATTTTGCCCTGCGAGTTGAAGGAAAAATTAGAACGCCTCACGATGAAAGCCGAGATTTTTCGGGAGTCACAAGGCCGATGCCCTTTCTGTCAGCCAAAGCAACCTTTAATTTAGGTACTTGGAATGCTCGTACAATGTGGGAGACCAGGAGAGGAGGTGATATAGCATCAGATCACCACCTGCTGTTAGTCAAAATGAAAACCTCAGAAGCGCTGGACAACATCACAAAAGTATAATACGGCTTTTCTTCTGGATACTGACAAACTCAACAAATTCAAGATGGCGCTCAGGAACAGGTTCCAGGTCGTTTATGATCTACCCAATGAAGAGGGAACTACTATGGAGAGCAACTGGAAAAGGATCGACGAGGCAATCACTTCAACATGTAATGAGGTTCTGGGTCACAAGGAATGGATCACTGTTGATGCACTACATAAGACTCAAGATAGAAAGAACAAGGAGGCAGCAATCAATACCAGTCGAACAAGATAAGAAAAAGCCAAGGCACAAGCAGAATACACAGAAGTAAACAAGCAAGTGGAAAGGAGCATCAGAACCGACAAACGTAAATATGTGGAAGATTTAGCAATGACAGCGGAAAAGACTCACAGAGAAGGAAACATGAGACAAATGTACGATGCAATAAAAGAAACTCTCTGGAAATTACTGTAAACCAGAAAGACCAGTGAAAAGCAAGGAATACAAGATAATCATCAACATTGAAGAACAACGAAACAGGTTGGTAGAACACTTCAAAGAACTCTTGAATCGACCAGCTCCACTGAACCCACCGAACATCGAAACATCACCCACAGACCTCATAATCAATGTTGGCCCACCGACAATTGAAGAGATCGGCATGGCCATCAGACAAATCAGGAGCGGCAAAGAAGCGGGACCAGACAACATTCCAGCAGAGGCACTGAAAGCAGACGTGGCATCAACTGCAAAGATACTCGACATTCTCTTCAGTAAGATTTGCGATGAAGAATAAGTACCAACAGACTGGAAAGAAGGATTTCTGATCAAGATGCCGAAGAAAGGCGATCTCAGCAAGTGCGATAACTACAGGGGCATCACTCTTCTCTCAATACCAGGAAAACTCTTCAACACCGTATTGTGAAACAGAATGAGAGAATCCGTAGACGCCCAACTTCTAGACGAATATGCTGGATTGCGTCAGAATCGATCGTGTACAGACGAAAACTCAACTCTACGAATAATTGTGGATTAAACTGCAAAATCATGCATGGAGGGCAGCTCACTAACTCTTTTGAGGTAAAGACCAGTGTCAGGCAAGGTTGCCTACAGTCACCCTTTCTCTTCCTCCTGGTGATCAACTGGATTATGAAGACATGAACATCTAGAAATAAGCATGGGACACAATGAACAGTAAGGATGTCGTTGGAAGATTTAGATTTTACAGATGATCTCGTTCTTCTATGGCACATGCAACAACAAATGCAGGAGAGAAAGACCAGTCTAGCAGCAGCCTCAGTAGCAATAGGCCTCGATTGTCTGATACAATACAGCATGCACCAATCGAATAACACTCGACGGAAAAGATCTTGAGAATGTGAAAACCTTTACATATCTGGGCAGCATCATTGATGAACACGGTGGGTCTGATGCAGATGTAAAGACGCAGATCGACAAACCAAGAACAGCATATTTACAACTGAAGGCCATCTGGAACTTAAAACAATTTTCAACCAACACCAAGATCAGAACTTCCTATTCAAATGTCAAGACAGTTCTTCCGTATGGGGCGGAAACTTGGTGAACTACGAAAGCCATCATCCAGAAGACACAGGTGTTTATTAACAGTTGTCTACGCAAAATGCTTCGGATCCGTTGGCTAAACACTACCAGCAACAGCCTACTGTGGGAGAGAACAAACGAGATTCCATCCAGCGGGGGAAGAAATCAGGAAGAAGAGCTGGATGTGGATAGGACACACATTGAGGAAAGCAACCAACTGCGTCACAAGACAAGCCCTCACATGGAATCCTGAAGGCCAAAGGAAAATAAGAAGACCGAAGAACACATTACGCCGAGAAATGGAGACAGACATGAGAAGAATGAACAAAAAATGGATAGAATTAGAAAGGCCCAGGACAGAGTGGGTTGGAGAATGCTGGTCGGTGGCTTATGCTTCATTGGGAGTAACAGGCATAAGTAAATAAGTTAGTAAGTGATTAGTGAGGGATGAAAGACAGATACATTTGGATACAATATACATAAAAGGCTATCTTATATTGTAAACATACTGCTTTGATTACACACACTTGGTGATTGTGTCAATATACTTCTAGTTAGTGGTATCTGGTTCTTAATTAAAATGTCAGAGTAGTGACTGTGTTCACGAAATTTTATCTTTTCTTAAATATAACAACTGTTCGGTTGCGTCAGATCAAAAACTTTCTACAAACTAGATTCAGCTTACCAATACACAATATATAAGAAGTCTTCATTTGTTAAGAAAAACAAACTGATTGTGTTTATAGTGGAATGTATTGTATTGAACCACAAAGGCTGAATATAATGTCGGTGCAAGTCATTGCATTTCCGGTGGGTTGATTCGAATTCGCTGTCATTATCAGTTTAAGTCGTATTACTTGCAATATTTGGATTAATTAGGGTAATATTATTTGGAGAACTTTTGGACCAATGATCAATGAAGAATATAATGATGTCCGTTTAAACTGGCCAAAGCAATTATGAAGCCATAAAGGCAGATAGAGAATCAAGGAGAACACAGCAGATAACACTGGAACAAGATCAAAGAACACATTACGCTGAGAAATGGAAACAAATATGAGAAGAATGAACAACAACTGCATAGAACTAGAACGAAAGGCCCAGGACAGAGTGGGTTGGAGAATGCTGGTCGGCGGCTTATGCTTCATTGGGAGTAACAGACGTAAATAAGTAAGTAATCTCTTATTGTTCTTCTTACATCTATCTACCTCTTGTTATTCGGGACATAATTTCTTTCCTGCTCAACCGTGTTCTGATTTAGAGACTTGTCGAGTGAGTTAGTGTCCAAGACTAGTAAGCTATGGGAATAGCTGGGTTGTAATAAGAGAAATTATAACACTGAGAGAAAAAGAGTGGATAATGAAATCAATAACATGTAAAATGAATGAACAATAGACAACAAAATTCGTAGGTATGAGCACCCTAGTTATTTGGAAATTTTAGAACACTAGTTTGACAATAAAAACATTAAATTTATTTGGACTTTCAACTTAAGGAAACCGTTAATGGACAAACCAACAGTTTAATGAACCCAAGATTGATTCATTAAGTAGATCTCCACAAATTGTCAAGAAATACAACAATTGATTAGAGAAATTATTAAAGACATGAAAATTTAGTATACAAAATATATTTAATGGCTTTACTAAGCCACTTAAGCTTCTGAAGTTACTTCTACACTAAATTATTGTTCACATTGCTTTACAGAAAGTCAGTCAGTCAGTCAGCGACAATGTAGGAACAGGCACATTTATGCATCAGTCCAAGTTGCCATACCTCGTTAGCACAAGATGAACACCGAATTCATAGAAGTAATTAATTTAGTGGTGGTAGTATATAAAGAAAGGTTGTATATAAGGATATAGTCTAGGAAGGAAAAAAGTTATGAAGCAATTTTAATCTCAAGGTTTAAGGGAAGATAAAGAGTGTATACACCTACGCCATTGTGATCGATTCTGAGCCATGTCACCTAGAGTCTCCAACCATTGGTTACGATAGTCACGCGGACCCCAACCAGGTAGTCTGCATCTACCAACATGGCTCAGACTAGAAGTTAGTGACTTCAAGCACTGATGCCATGTTTTGGTTTGGCCACCCCTAACTCTCTTCCAACCATCCTCTTCACTAGTCAGCATTGCGCGTCGTGGTAATCGATGTTCAGCCATACGTAACACGTGGTCCAACCATCTCAGTCGATGAAGATTCATGACCTATTCAACTGGTTTACCATCATTTCCTAATACCCTGTGTCTAACATCACTATTACTTACCCGGTGATCCCAGCAGATGCGAGCAATATTTCTAAGACATCTGTGGTCAAATACGAGTATCTTCTACTCTTAATGGCCATGTTTCGCAGCTGTAAAGTAGAACAGACCGAACTGTTGTGCAGTATACTCATCCCTTAATTGATAGACAGATATCTCGTCTTCGCCATAGGTGACGTAAGTTGGCAAAAGCTAAACGAGCTTTTCGAATCCGTGCTGAGATTTCGTCAGACACCAACCCATTAGGGATCATCAGACTTCCAAGATAAGTGAAGTTGTCGACGCGTTCGACTACTTCACTCCCTATCCTTAGATCAGGTGTTGACGCAGGCCAGTCCTCAAGCAACAACTAGCATTCAGAGGGGGAGAAACGCATCCCAAACATCCTGGCATTGTTGCTCAGTGCTAACAAAAGACTCCGCATTTTATCAGAGTCTTCACCAAACACAACTATGTCATCTGTGTATTCTAAGTCGATAAGTGGACCGCCTGGTACGAGATCAATGCCCGAAAACTCAGATGACGAGAACGTCATCTCCAACAGTAGGTCTATAATGAAGTTAAACAAAAATGGAGATAGTGGACAACCTTGCCAGACACTACTTGAGGTCGCAAAATCAGATGACACTACTCCATAGGCTCTGACTCGACTACAAGTGTTCGAGTAAAGAGCCGTCTGCGTATTCTAAGTCGCTTAGTGGACCTAGTGGTAAGAGATCAATTCCTGAAAATTCAGTCGATGAGAGTGTTATTTCCAGCAGTAGGTCTATGTTGAAATAGTGGATAGTGGACAGCTTTGTCGGACACCACTTGAGGTTGCAAAATTAGATGACAGTTCACCAGAAACTGTGACTGGACTGGCAGTTTTCGAGTAAAGAGCCTTCACAAGGTTAATGTACTTCCGAGGTACACCTTTCAATGACAGACACTGCCACAGAACCTCTCGGTCTACAGAGTCAAATGCTGCTTTCAAGTCAAGAAAAACTATCACTGTCGGACGCCGATAAGCGTGCCTGTGCTCTAAAACTTGGCGAGTGGTGAATATGTGGTCGATACAGCCACGACCAGGTCTCAAGCCAGACTGGTTTTCTCGTGTTTGCAGTTCACGAGTCTTAGTTAGGCGCCCAATAATTATTGAGGTTAATATTTTAGATGCTATGTTAGTCAGACTGATCCTTCTATGGTTATCACAGGATGATTTTGGCCCCTTCTTATATATTGGGACAATCAGAGATTGTGAACAGTCAGATGGCATTACGTCCGTCTCCCAGATTTTAGCCAGAATATTAGTCAACCTATTCGCTAAAATTGGACCACCATATTTAAAGACCTCTGGAGCCAATCCATCTGGTCCAGCTGCTATTACAGAAGTACATTCATTGCAGAATGTACTTTTGAATGTATTAGATTATTTAGGATGCTTTTTCGATCATAAAAACTCCGGTGACTCTTATTTGTAAAAAAAGGCAGTAAAAACAATGCATAAAGCATTTCAAGAGAACTGAGCTAAAAAGTACCCAAAATATTTATGAATTTATATACATTAAATAGCAAGTTATCTGAAAGTTATGAAATATCAAGCAGAACAGATGAACTAAGGAGTAAACTGAAGACGATAGAAGTGATGCTATGAAGTGGGTGCTTTTTAAGTACCGAGTGAGATCAGACTCAAACACTTTGGTTGTAAAAATCAAACCAGTATTTTATTAATTATTTTATTCACCTTAATGATGTGTAGCGAACAGTTGATATTTACTCATGGCTGCCTTCCAAGTAGCCGATCCGTGTTCGATATTCGGTGGACGCCGGCCATGACCCAAACACCTTTGTACGGCCGAGAGTGATGAGAGTCCGTCCTCTTTCCCGAAAGGCTCTCAAACGGCCACGCGTATATAGCCTATGCCAGGGAAGACCACACCACAGAGAACCAAATAGATCAAACTTGTATGAATAAGAAATTCCGTAAGACAATGGAAGATGTGAGAACCAGGAAAGAAGCTGAGATAGCTTCAGATCACCACCTGGTTGTGGCCAAGATGAAACTGAAGATAAAGAAACACTGGATAACTGGACAAAAAGAAGTGCAAAGGTTTCATATCAAGCAGAACAGATGAACTAAGGAGTAAGCTGAAGACGATAGAAGAAAACCACCTGCTTCTGTCTGGGCACCCGCACAGCATCACAGCCCTCACACAAATCTAATGAAATAACAATTACTTCACCAAATACTATGCTTGCTTCAATTGGAATTCAGACAATCCACATTCACTTGATAACACACAATCTTGTTGTTATTATTATTATCATCATTTTTTATATACTACATCACTCATATCTTCCTCTATTCCCGCTTCATGTACAACCATTTTTCTACTTATACAGCAGCTCGCCCATGGTGGGAACTCTGTCATATCTAAACGATCTCAAGTCACTGTCTCGTCGAAAGTGAATGTATACAAGACCGCCGCTTATTTTGAAGTACCTATCTGGACTCTGATCATGCCCCGATCTGCGCCAATCTTATCTTACTTTTCAGTGACCAACGAATTCATCGTCATCAACGGATTGATGTCAGTAAATTGATTGCAACTCCTGTCGCAAGTATTGAACCGAGCCCGCTAACGGCTTCGCAAAGAGTCTCGCTTATAAGCACTGGGTTTCTTCACCTTCCCTATAACTCATTAAAGCCCATCCATCTACCTCGAGTGACCACGAGTTTGACCTCGAACGAAGACTGTTACGTAATGAAATTCGGCAAAGCTTGCTTAAGGACCGAGAAGCCTGGTGGTCAGAGCGTGCCAATGAGTTGGAAGCAGCAGTTGCATCTGATGGCTGCCGGAAGCCTTTTTCAACTCATCCAAGTCACTGGCAGCAAGAAGTCTGGTGTGAGCGAAACAATCCTGTACTCACCCTGGGTGGTGAGCAGATTGAAGTAGTTGAGAAGTTAGTGTATCTAGGTAGCTGCATAAGCGCTGGTGGTGGCGTGAGTGATGAGATCAATGAACGTATAGTGAAAGCCAGAGCAGCTTATGCCAATCTGGGCTATCTTTGGCACCTTCGTGATGTTAGTCTGGCTGTAAAATGTCGGATCTACAGTGAGTTGGTGAGAGCAGTTCCGCTCAATGCGTGTGAAACTTGGCCTCTCCGAGTTGAGGATGTTAGACGACTCTGTGTTTGATCATCGTTGTCTCCGAAGGGTTAACGACATCCAGTGGCGACACCATGTTAGTAATACAGAGGTTTGGTGTCACATGTTCGTGCCCAGTGACGATAATCCAAATGGTGTCACCATCTTGAAACACTGACTTCGGTGGCTTGGACATGTTCTACGAATGTCGTCTTTCTGGTTGTACCTGTATGATTCTCCCATTACTATTATTTTACCATTATCATACACTAACTTGTGGTCGTTATTGTTAGTTTTTTCATTTATACGCACCTTACACTCTTCGTCTCTTCCCATCCTTATTGTTATTGTGAAGCGCATATTTTATAGTGCCCAGTTGTACCAATATCTTTGTTCAAATGAATAAATAAGTACAAGAAAATGAAACCGGAAACCAAATTAAAAGTTAAATGTGTAGTTACACATTCAACAACTATGAATCCATGCGAACAATTATAAATTTTCCTAATAAATGGAAGAAAAACTGGGCACTGAAACACTAAGATCGAGCGTTGCTCAAAAAAAATCAAAACACTGTTGTTTAGCGAGAAGAAGCTGGTGGTAATGACATGCAAG